TAAACCTTAATGAAAATTGTGAAAGTTGCAAAGCCATTGAAATTACTTAAAAATTGAAACAAAAAGATTTTAATTAAAATTAATCAAATGTCATGATAGATGGAATTGAAAAACATAACTAAAACAACTAAAATCATATTAAAACTTATATTTAAAACTGCAATATCATTAAAATGAATTATTAGGAATTAGGAAAATCAAGATTCTAATTCAAGTTAAAATGTATATTGAAACTCATGAAAATGTGCGAAGTCATTGAAATTAAAAACAAAATTGATAATTACAGAACAATATTTTAATTATTTAAAATTTATTTTAAATAAATAAATTGCAGGATAATTGAAATTTAACGAAAATAAAAATTACAAAATCTCGATTAAAATCAAAAGCCATATTAACACTTACAAAAAATGGAAAATTTTAATCAATTTATCAAAAACCAAATTTGTCCAAACCAATGTAAGAGATGATAATTTCAAAATCGTATATGATATTAATTTAAAAACCATATGAAAAATGCAAGATCATAATTGAAATTACCTCTAATTAATTAATAGAAATTATGAATAAATCAACTTATTGAATAAGTTATGAATTTGCAAATTATTATTTTTAACTTCCCGTAGGGCAAGTTATAGTAATCGCAAAAAATCGAAAATGAAAATTTTTGCATTTCTCGGCGTTTCAAAGGTTTCTGAATATTTTGGCATACCTTATTTTAGAAAAAATGGATGTATGTGTGTGTGTGTGTGTGTGTGTGTGTGTGTGTGTGTGTGTGCGTGTATGTATGTGCGGATACAAATTTTCGTCGACGATTTCGGGAACACCGATCAACCGATTTGAATAATTCAAAAAACATTCGATTCGTATTGATAAGGAGACGTGCTGATTAGTTTTTGGCAAAGTCAGGTCTAGCCGTTCCGAAGATACGAGGCAAAAAGTGCCGAAAACGGTAACTCAGTTTTAAAGAGAACGGAGCGTCCGATTTTAATAATTCAAAAACATTTTACTTGTATTGACAAGGTGAAGAACCTATCAAATTCATAAAGGCAGGTCTAGCGGTTTCGGAGATCTAATGAAAAAAGTAAAAAAAAAGCCATTTGGCGGTCAAAAATGATCATTAGACATATGCACATCAAATTATCAGATATTTTATAGAGATTTAATAATAAGTATAATTTGGTTTACATTCCTATGAGTTCCGTACCAATGTTTACGCGTTAGACGTCGACGCGGCGCTTACGCGGTTTGATATTTCGTCTTTATGCAGTTAAAGCAGTACGGTTGCTTTGAAAAAAAGTTTAGATCTTTCAAAATATATCAAAATAAAGAAAACTTTTTTTTTCAAAAAAAAAAAAAATTAAAAAAAAAAATTTTTTTTAAATTTTTCTTCAAAAAAAAGTAATTTTTGTCTAATTGTTTGTCAAAAATCTTATTTTTTCGAAGTAAATTTTTTTCAAAAATGTTAATCGTTTTAAAAAAATAATTTTTGGTACGGGAAGTTCCAGCAATTTGCCTTAAGGCACGATGCCTTAATTGCCTTAAGACAGAATTCCACTTACAGCTAGTTAATTTTATTATTGCTTTATTATTTACTGTAATAAATAATTTTCAAACCAATCAACAAATATATGATGAAAATGATTATTTTCATGACTATATTTTATAATCGATTAAATTTGTAATGTAATTGATGTGCACATTACTATTTTATTTGCTGAGAAAATAATTGACGAATAAATTGTCAAATATATAATTTAATTTTCATTATTAGCTCATTTCAATTGTTTCTTAATTTTTCATAGTGCCAAAGACTTGTGTGATAAATTACCACATTTCTATTTTCCATCGTATCGTGCTAGTAAAAGTATAGATTTAGGTTGGAATACAAAAATTTTATACATTTTTTACAAAATAAAATTACCTGCACGTTTTCTAATAGAAAAATCTAATTCTTTTCTAATAGTAAATCGACTATCAAATAATTGAAAATAGTAGACATTTTATAAACTATTTTTATAAAAACTGCAAATTTTATTTTCAAATTTTCAAATTTATCAATCAAATCACACCACTGCTAATAATATTTAAGCATGAACAGATGTTTCTGAAAATTGTTCAATAATAAACTAATTTTTAAAACAACAATTTTTAAAATTTCAAATAAACAATTTTTAAAATTTCAACTACTTTATATAAAAATTGAATAAAATAAATTTTAAGGTAAAATTAAATTTCGTTCGTCATGAAGCATTATCGTCAAAACATGAAACATTTTGAATAATAATTCCATTAATCATATTTACAATTTAAAAATTACTACAAATATACACAAATAATTTACGTGCATTTAATAAAGATTGATTGCATAAAATTTGATGTATTGTAATCGGACTGTAAATGCTTAATTTATATAAACGTATGAAACCGGTTCTTTTGTTTGATTTGCTTTATAAATTTGGAGAGATTAGTATCTACAGATATGGAATTATGTAACATTTCCAATATTCTGAATTTAATGTGAAGTTTGTAAAACAAATTATTGCAAATGCATATATATAGGTCTTTAACAGGCAAAAGTAGAAAAATATCGCATTAAAATAATAAAATAGCAATTGAGTTAATTATAAAATACTGAAATATACGCAGATATTTTCTACACATGACCAACTTAATTTTTGTAAAATAATCATTTAAAAATCTAATATTCGATTATTTGGATTCAATACAATACAATACAAATTTATGCAATCTTATCTCATCGTTTGGGCAATTACTTGTAAATTTGATATTTTACTAAACAAAAAATTCAAGTATCTACTGTAATTTAAACTTGAAAATTACAAGTTTCTAATTCTAATTTGATAATTTTACTAGCAATAACACGCGAAATGAAAATGTCGCAATTTATTGAACACAAGTCTTTAGTGAACAAAATGGTTTATAAATCTGACAAAGATAAAAAAAATAATGAGCATTTAGCGTAGTTTTAAGAATACCAAGCTGTGGTATTAAGTTTTGATTGATCGTCTTTAATAAAAAATGATCTTTTGACTGATTTTTGGCTACAAAAAAATCAACATTCGAGTAAATTATGATAAGATTTCAACGCTATGGACTGTACTTAATACAGTTTAAATTATTGTTATATAATTGAATGTGAGAGTCTTATTTGAATAGGAAATAAAACATCTACCTATAATGATATCGTGCGAGGGCACGTAGTTCAATTGCAAAAATTTCATTATCATTTTGGTTTTCTACGTAGTTAAAAGGAATCATTCTAATGCACCCAAAAGTAATACATTATAATATGACTGAAATTATTTAACAAAACAAGAAAAGACTACGTCATCTTCTATTATGCTACAAATCCAAGCGCAATTTTTTAAAAAATATAACTTGTTTTGCAAGTCAAAACTATTAGTAATAAAATCTAACAAGCAACTCAGTATACTTTAAACTAATATTTGAAAGTTTAAATGGATAGATGATTTCAAATATTTCAGAAAATTTTAGTGATATATAAATCAAGATGTACTCGGACGCCGCAGTAACTGCGTTCACGCAAACAATTCATTTCGTATAAGAAAAGCCAAAATGATCAAAACTGAAAATAAACCTACAAGTTCTACGTATTACGAAATCAACTTGAAAACCCTGAAATTAATACAAAAAATATGTACCACTGACCTTTTCTCCTGTAAACTGTATTGCATCAGGTTCAATGCCTCACGTAAATTAGACTGCATCAATTTTAATTTCTCCTGTGAAATGGACTGCAACATCTTGTCTGGACTACCTAATTGTTGTAACTGCAATAGAAATCATTATCATTAGATAGGCGTGTGAAACGATTTTATTGTTTAAAAATATTGCATTTCGATATAAATTCATAGTTACCTCAATATGTACTAAACGTAATCGGTTATCGGAATCGCAGCTTCGATACAGAATTCAATTCACTCACTGAACATACTGAACTACATACCGAAAATCAAAAACTTATTTGAAAAAAAAAATCACTTAATAAGGGCACAATTACAAACCCTTGAAATTAATATAAAATTATCGCACTATTAAACCGAATTCAATTCGTAACTATGTTGAACTTACGAAACAATCCGGTCGAGTCCACTTCGCCGAGACCCTTCTAGCCGTACACCGCCGCAGTCGAAGGCCAAGTGCTGTCGATGCTGTCGATGCACGCCAATCCCCACCGCTCGACACGCGTGCCGGCGTCTACGCATCGTATCTTTGTCCTTGTCTTGCGCATTAATCCTATGCGTGGAATAGAGTGCGAAATAGTGCTCGAGCGCAATCGCACATAATATATTTGTCCTTCTCTGTCCGCAGTATTGCATAATGATACGGCATACCGACACCGACCGACACCGACCGGCTGCCGAAAGAACCTCCGCCATTATTATGTTGTATGGGCTTCTGTCTGTCGGCAAACTGCAACGTAAAATTATATTAGAATTATTTTTATATTTCAATAGCCATGTAAAAGAACTCTTTGTCAAATTTGCGTTATTTGTCTAAAGTAATATGTTATTACATGTTAGTCCACAAAAATGCATTTTTTGACTTGTAACTGATAGAATACAATTTGTTATATAAAATTTTTGCACACTTAACTAAATTTCACAAAACTTCATTATTTAATTTTGTTTGTAAAGTCAGATTTGTAGACTATTTTATTATGTTTTTAACAATATGTAATAATATATTTGAATTATCTTTAATAAAATGTGGATATAAAAATCCGTGTCAATGAAACTACAGACTGAAATGTAATAAAATGAAACGCCACTTTGGTTTGATACAAATATTTTGTTTTTAAAATATATAAAAAATTGATTTTATGGGATATTATAAAAACACATCGAGCTGATTAATTTTTGGTTAAGATCATAAAAAATAATAAAATGTTTCTGTCATCAATTGCCTTACATAAGCTAATTTATATATATATATATATTATCTATATATATATATATATATATATATATATATATATATATACATTCTTGATTCGCGCCAGCATAGATCATTAAGTCTATGCTGTATCTTGTACATATTCATAACATTTGATCATGTAAATAAATAATAAAATGTCTTACTATAACTCTGCGTCATCTAATGGTAATAAATATATGACTAAATATAGTTGTATCATTATATGTGTGTTTATTTACTTGAATTAATTTCAGCCTGAGGTATTTAATCTATGTGATAAATACTGAGTGAATGTTAAAGTTAAGCATCTAACATATATATATACATTCTTGATTCAGCCGATTATTTCCACATTAAGAAAAGTATGCAACTTGCTTAAGGCAATGACTAGTTAATTTTATGTCTGTTACACTTATACAATACTTGATTTAGTGAAATATTTATTATCATATCTCGTAAAATAATAGATAGATTTCTTATTGATTCAGCTGATTATTTTCAAGGAAAGTTAATGCAACTAGTTATTTTATGTCAGAACATTTACTGACTAGACTACGACCACTTCGCCGACATATTCCTATGCGTGGAATAGAGTGCAAGGCAAGAGTCATTCTCTGTCCGAAGTATTGCATAATGGCCTACCGGCTGCCGAAAGAACCCCCATTCATTCATTATCAGTACCACAGTACCTACTTATTGCACACCGAGTGATATTTATTAATGTAGGAATAAATTTCAAAATCATCAAAGCTTGTGATGCAACAAACAGCTTTGCATTTTATAAATCTTTTATATAAGTAGTAGAATTATTAATTAATACTTCATACAAGTACATACATTATATTTTTATAATTTATTTAATTTGTATTATTAAGATTATTTCAAATATATTTATTAAAGAATTGTGTCACTATGATATAAGATTGATAAACAAGATAAAAATACTCACACACACCTTTATGTAGTATATTACTGAATAAATAAATCTGTTCAATCAAACAAACAAACTCTGTACCAAAATTCTAAACCTTATAGGACAAAAAGAATGTATGTTATATAAGTATATGTATAGTACGTGATGTATAAAGTTGGAAGCATTTGTTTCAATTAACTTGTAAAAAAAAACATATCTTTTTCGAAATGTTAATTATTCACCTAGCAAATTTCAGACTATGGATGTAATTTAAAATTAACAAACTGACAATAAATACAAATATAATGCCTTTAGCTGTTTTATTTGAATATATAACAGTTTTGCATTAATGTACATTGTAAAGACTTGAAAACAATAATATCGCTAACAAATATTTGAGGATAAGTCTTAACAAAGGAAGCAACAAACTACTTCTTTTAAAACATAAAACCTGCATTCAACTAAAATTTCGTACAATTGTATTTAAAAATTGCAATAAAACTACTAAGTAATAATTGAAATATATATATAGAAATATGACAAATCAAACTATACATGTTCAACAAAACTACGCTTTTGTTAATTTGTTAATACGATTTTCTGTTGTAGCTTTCATTACGATAAAAAAATAAATATAAAATATTTGATGAGATTTTTCTATATACAAATAAATATTATTTATCTACTTACATTATATTATACTTATCCTGATATAAATTTATGAAAAAGAGCGAAATTTCAAATTTTTACTCTGTTTCAAAATTGGACTTTCAATCAGCAATTTTGGTGCAATTGAAATGAAGAAAGCATAGAATAGTTAAACTAGGATTTAAACACCAAAATGAACTTTATCGAATGACTTTGAAAGCACTTGTTGACTCTCCAATTAATTTGGAATATTATACTTCTTGCATCCTAAGAGTAAATGCGAATTTGCACTTCTGGTAGATCTTCGATTTCTACAAATTTATAATATTGTAAATAAAATGATATATATTTTATAATATTTTTTTCCTTAACCTGTAAGAGCTCGGTGGTGTATCTCCTAATGATATTCCATTTTGGACTTCCATGCAACCATGGCTAGACACAATCGAAAGCTTTGCTTCCATATTCTAAAACACAGATAATGCAATCGAATAAATAAATAAATTTATTGAATAAATGAATAAACAATAACTTCTCAGAAGAAAAGTTTATGCTCTTGTCAAAAAATCAGTTTTACTAACTTCATGTTTTCTCGATGTTTCAAGTCTTTCTGAATTTAATGAGACCAAAATTGATAAAAGTAAGTGTATGTGTATAACTCACTCTTTATTCATTTTCGATTTTAAACAATTCAGAACCATTTGAAGCGTTTAGAAATCAAAATCAACAAATTGGATTTTCTGACCAAACAAACGTTTCCTTTGGAAAACAATATATACAATATGTACTTATTCGTTTTGCTAAACATTATATTGTATTTTTTAAAACAAATTTAAGGTTTTTAAATATTTATTGTCTCTTGAAAAAAATCAGTTGGCACATATTAGCAGACAAATGATAAATAAATAATAACTCAAACGCAAACTATAAATTTGGATACCGCCAGATATATCCAATAACTTGTTGTAAACACAACATTAAAAACTGAATTTTTAAATGTTCAAATTTAAGATCAAAAAAAAATATTTTCAGACTTAAGTGCATTTTGTATTTATAATACAAATAAAAATAAACTATACCTTTATATTTATAAACACTACCTTTTTTATCAGGTATGATTTTAAAATATCAATATGAGTGTGTACTTTGATTATTATCAATCGTTATCATTTCTCAGAGTCATTGGTATTTGTCTGTAAGACTCACAGCATTTTCTTAATATAAATTATTAAATTATACCTGTACCTAAGCTTAAAAATTGTCACTACAATCAGAGAAAAATGTTATTTAGCCCGGAAATTAAATCTGTCTATCAAGTCATTGGATTACTAAAATTTCATATTCATTTTTTTTATACATATATTAAATATTAGGCACATATGTGTATGACTAAAAAATTATTTGCTACTTTAGTATATTACACAACTAATAATGTTATATTCACAATATATATATATATATATATATATATATATATATATATATATATATATATATATGATACAGTTTTGCAGCCACAAGTCGAAAAATAAAACCAGAACGTAAATATAAATCTTTTTAGTATATATATATATATACTAAATATATATATATATATATATATATATATATATATATATGATACAGTTTGCAGCAGCCACAAGTCGAAAATTAAAACCAGAACGTAAATATAAATCTTTTTAGTATATATATATATATATATATATATATATTTCAGATAGTGAAAAATATATTGTAACGACAATCGGTATTGTCGTCAAAAGGGTTGCATAACCACCAGTGCAATGACGCTCCCCCACCACGCCCAATAGGGATGCCAATATAAGGTCCAGTCTGGGGTTGAAAAATGGCATTAAGAATTGTATCATCCTCTGAGGAGGTCAGTGGGTCCACGCGCCAGGCGCTGGACCCGCTTTGTGTATAGTGGTGTGTGTGTTGTGCCAGGAGAGGAGAACCCGTTCCAGTAAAGGTCAGATGCATTATTGGTTTTATAAACTATTCCCTCCGTTCCGTCCTCCGTCGTTATCGTTACTCCGTTGATACCGTTTTACGTTAGTAATTAATAAAGATTTATGAGTACGTTAGGTTTAGGCAAAGGGCATGACAGTACGTAGGTATTGTCATGCCGTTACACCTGTAATAATTAGTAATGATTAAATAAGCTAAAAGTACATTCTGTTTCATTCGCGTAGTTAGTTGGCTTTTCCACAGGTAATTACAGGGTGTTTAAAGAAGTCGGGTTAAGGAGTTGGTGTAACCCTTTCGTTGGGGATGCAACGCTAGATGTAATAATAGAAGTCGTTGCATATCCCCTAAGAAAGGGGGGCATCACCCCTTTTTAATCCGTCACAATGGTGAAAACGCATTCGATCCCCCATAAACCCCCCTCACAAATTTTTAATAATTGTAATAATTAATTATTTTTATTAAAAGCTAAGCGAGTCGCTCCCACTAGTTACGTGTACAAGTTACGTTAATTTTCATGATAGATGTTTTTTTGTTATAGTACGTTGTTCGGTAAATTTAGTAAATTTTTAAAATTTGAATATTGCGTAAATAACGTGGTAATTATAATTGTTTTTTCTATGTGTATCACTACTTGCGTTTATCTGTGTATTTTCATTTTTTTATTGTGTACCTTTCGCGGAGACGTGGTAGTTTTAATTTTAATAGAATTTTACTACGTTGAAAATATAAGTGATTTTTTTTTTAATATGTTTTGGATGTGGAATTTTAATAAATGTAATAATCTAGTTTAATTTTATTAAACCAAATATGTTGTTTTGATTGCCATTTGCGTCGATGTTAAAATTTGTTACCTAATATTTGTTAAGATTATCCTAAAAAGTAAATAAAATTTTCGAATTTAAAGTTATTTAACTTATTTAAAATTATTAAACTCATTATGTTTATAACATTACAAAAAATGTTCAAAGTATTATTTTTATTTTAAAATTAGATTTAATTTAATTGTTGTGTGTGTGCATTCTATTTTTTTTCTTTTTCTTTGAATATAATATTACAAAAAATGTAGTTAATTTTATTTTAAAATTTGGATTTATTTTAATTGTTGCGTTCGTTCCATTTTGTTCCCCCTGGGTATATATATAAAAAAAAACTCGGTCAAACATTCATATCAATTTCAATTTCTGTAAAGCCACTTATAAATCGTCGTATTCAAGTATTTTGTTTTGATAGGCTAGTTCGAAAGATTTGAAACACATTGCCCCTCAAAATGTATTTCGTTTTCTTCGTAAATCTCAAGTTCCGTACACTTGACCCTAGGCCACACGCAAATCGTTTTTTTTTCTGTCTTCGAAAACAGTTAATAGGCACATATTATGTTTCAGTAATCCCTAGTATTTTTTTTTCATTGACATGTTTATATACAGATCTTAAATATATTGTGTTTTTTTGACAATCCCAACGTCTCTGTTATGCCTCAGCACTTGACAATTTTTGACCCTATCGACGGGGTGCCGTAGTGCCGTACGCAACGCGACAGAACCGTTAAGTTTTTTTGCACAGTCTGCGGCGCCAGTCGCATACTTGAAATAATCCATATTCAAAAAAAACTTTCACTTTCCGTATATTCTTTTTTTTTATACTAAATAATATAATTATAATTAAAAAGTACAGATAACCGCAAATAGTATTGAGTTGATTTTATTTATTTTTTATTGATTGTCCTTTTGTTTGTGTTTCGTTAATCTCGTTCGCGAAGTTTGATGAGCCCTGTAATTACATATTTTTTTCGAGATGATTCGCGAATGAGACAGAATTACTTAGAACATGATAGGTATAGATAGATACTTTAGTATCTATTAGTATATTTAGTATCAGTAAGATTGATACTTTTTATTATTTTTCTAGTTTGGATTTTTCTAATAAGTTTGGATGATTTTCATATTTTTAGTTAAGATTTTATTAGGTATAGGATTACTTAAAATATTACATAAGTTATTATGCCAGTAAGATTGTTTTTTCCCTTGTGGTTTGTACTTGTACGATGTAATAAGTTAGTAACATTTTAGTCAGGATTTTAATAGAGTTAGGATAATTAGGATTAGTTTGTTTTATATAATTTAAATATGGGTTTTATAATCCAACATTAGCATAAGTTTTGTTTTTTTTTATCATTGCAAGTGAAATTAATTGAGTTTTGTATCGTCGAGAATTGACGAAAGAGTTAGCAAATATTTTTAAAATGGAGTATGTTTATTTGCTTAACTTCTTATGTGGTTTTATTGTTGTTCACGGAGGGAATAGTAGTTAGCATGTCTATGATTTGAAAATGAAGTGAATTTTTGAGGAAACGCGCGGTAACAAGGGGCGCAAAGGTCGCGTATGTGGAAAAAAATTGCGTAGAGAACGCAAAGAGTTTAAAAATAAATTGTAATAGCAGGCGGAAAGTGCCGAACCAAGATGTTAATGTTATTTTCGAGTTTATTGTAACTTTTTTTTCTCTTAATCGTTACATCATAGACATGCTAATTGTATCTGACCAGCTGGAGGGTTGTGTAATACATTGGTATTATGTAATTGGTTTGTAGTATTAGTATGTTTTTTATTTGTTTTTTTTAATATTTTAATGTCGTGTATTTTCGTGTTTTTTCAGTAGGGTGATGCAATAATGAATTTAGTTTTATCGATTTTAATATTGTACTTTTCTATATTATTTTCTTTCGTTTTTTTCTTACGCGTATTATGGCGTTCTCATTCCCGCCGGAACGTCATTGCTTAGTGCTCAATTCGTGGCTTCATCTAATTGATCTTATTTATTAATTAATAATAGGATACGACTTTTCACCATAATTCATAATGGCAGCTAAGGCGATCAGTTCGACCGACGATTATGTGGCTTGGAAACCAAAGGCCTAGAAAACCTTGGTTAAATAGAGCGGGTGGGCAGGTGACATTTCCCTTCGAAAAGTCGTATTTCTACGAACACAGAGACAATTGCAAAGGTAGAACCCGGATTTGCAATATACGTATTTGTAGTTCGGCAATTAGATGAACGTTCATGTATTGTTCGGAATGATACGTGAACGGCTAAAGGCATTTTTTTCGCTCTCGTTTTTTTTTCGCTTTTTAAGAACTATATTATTTCGTTGATCATACTAATTTCTTTTTTTTATACTAAGTTTTATGTTGCATTTTACTATTTTTAATATTTTACTATTTCTTAATAAATTAATTTTATATCATACGCGTAACTTCGTTACTTTTACTTTTTTTATCTTACGTTTCATTATTGCATTATCCACTTTGTTCGCCATTTTTAATATACTAGAATTTCGTTTTTTTTATATTTATATATTTGTCATTGTGTTTTTTGCCGTGCGTCGCGAAAGGTTTGGTTTGGTTTACGGATAGAGTTTATGGCCTATGTTACAAGGCGTTGAAGGTAATGAGAGTATTGAGGGCAATTGTTAGTTGAAATGTTGAATATGTTAAGGTGCCCAAAT